AGCAGGAAACTCTCCGCACACTCACTGGACCTGGGCTGGGACTGGGTCTGGGGGCTCCCGGAACTCGGCAGAAAATCCTACTCCGGTGTAAAGATTTTTAAAGGTGGGAACATAATTAAAATATAAATACAAGAAAGGGAGTGGGAAATGTATGTGGGCTCTGTCTTATTCTGAATATGAAAAAGAAAATAGTGTTCTAGATTCACGTTCTAATATTTTTGTCTTTAAGCGTCACCAAAAAATCAGGCAAAGGGCTAGAAATGCAGCATCAAGAGGTAAAGTGCCAATCTCTCCTCTAACTGCCTTCCCTTGTAGAATAGCTTTGCATGGTTTCTGCCCGTGTGACACCTGGAGCCAGGATCCAAGTGTTCTAACATTGGAGTCTTCACTTCTCCAAATTCACGACTTTCATAGAAGATGTGGGTGGGTGGGAAGTCAGAACATGGGAATGTGCTAAATTTACCTACTACCTGATTCCCCTGAAAATAAAGAATTGAGGAAATAGGGCAGATGTCTTTAACTCTTACCATTTGCTAGTTTTAACATCCGGAGTAAATTATTTTATCTCCTAGACCTATTCTCCATAAACTAGGCATTTGATGATCCTCCCTCACAGAGTGATTGTAAAAACCACATAAGAAAGATAAGAACAGGTAAAGGGGAACGAGCAAGTTATGAATGATTAGAGTATGCCCAGATGCCTCTACAACGAGTGCCAGTTGGGTTTTCTAGTTCCCTCTTAATGGGCATAAAGGCCTTCTGCTTCCTAGAGAATGAGCACTCACATGCCGTCAATTGTGTCCTGATTCCTCAGCTAAGAGATGTTACCAAGAAGAACCTGAGAAGCCAAGGGAGCTGATCTCCATCATGAAAAGGTGATATTTTCTTCATTGTAGTTTCTCAGTTCCTAGCATGTAAAGTGATCATTTCTTAGCTGGCCTGAGGCAAGCATGAGAAAAGGGATAATGAGTAGGAGGGAAACAGACCCGGTGGAGGCTGGTTCAGTGGCTGAGAAGGCTGCCAGAGACACAAGGCAGGTCAGACATTTCAAAAGGAAAGAATCACCCAGTTCTGCTCTGTGCTAGGGTAACATTAGTTCTACAGTTCAAGATTTCATCTGTTCATAATTTTTAAAAGATACCATTGGGACAAGTTATCTACTTGAGAGAGTGGATTTTGAATGAAGTTGTCATTGCTATATTCTTTTAACAGCTTTAGACTTTCAAGGAAAGTCCTGTGTTTGTCTAAATCCTACAGAGACTATCTTTTCTGGTCTATCCCTGGGGTGGACAGTCTGGGAAACCCTCCTACAGGAACCTATCATCTTATCTTCTCCTCAGAACGAGACTGATTCCCAATAGATGCCAATTCCCACAGCAGCAGAGGTACCCCATAACTCTCAGAGTTTCCTCAAAGATTACTTTCCAGGGTACGTTCAGAACTTTAGGATTGGGCTGGGCAGTAGCAGCCTCCAGGCGACACTCCAAGGAGGCAGATGGTCCTCATCAGTAACAGTTGTGTTTCCCTTCCCAGCCAGCACTGGCTTCCCCAGCAGGAAAGTGTGCGGCAGCTCCTTTGTGCAGATCCCTCCTGCCAAACCTGCAATGCAGTGGCTCAAGAGATTCAGCAATTGCTACAGGATGAGAAGAACCAAATCTCCACCAATTTATCAGAGCCATCACAGGACTCTTGCCTACAGATGTTCTCTGTGTCAGCTGTGTCTTTTGAGCAGAATCTGGAGCTTCATTCTCAGCACCCTAGGGATCATTCACTGGCATCTGTACCCCCAACACTGACGCAAATGACAGAACATTTAATGCAATCAACCGATACAATTAGCACCCAAGGATACTGGGCGGATCATGTCCAACAAGGGCGAAGATTTCAACTGGAAAATATACCCACAGACCAGGAGACTATGGCTTCATTAAGGTTTGAGGAGCCTGTAGTTCCAGTGAATGAACAGGAAATGAGGCAGAACAACCTTAACTTTTTCCAGGGGATCCAAAATCAGCAGTCTGTGAACTCTCAGCACTTCTCTTTTATGTATGTGAACCCAGACATCACTAACGTGACACATCCAATGGTTGCCCATATGGCCCCACATGTCCATGTCACCTTCCTCACTCCTCAGGTCCTGAGACTTCTGGAGGTACATGTAAAAAAATGGATGCATTTTCAGAGGTGGGGGCTCCCCAGACGTGTGGAGGACTCCCTGAGGCAGCTTATACCAAACACACTAATGTATTGCCACACAGAAAATAATGAGCCACTTTCTTTCATCCTAAATAATAATTCTCAGGTCGGTGTTCATGAATTTGGGACCACTGCCCACCAAACCTGGTGTTCCTATATGGCTGGGCAACCCACACAGTCCTTCTGGGTTTCTGAATGGTCTGAAATGGACCCAGAACACAGATACCACTGCCAGCAAAGATCTAAAACTATGGGTCTCTCCTTCCACTCCTCTTCCCCAGAAGTTCTGAGCGGCCTGCATGGGGGACAGGCTAATGACTCAGGAAACAATCTGCACCAGAAATACAGGCAGCTATTCTGTGGCCTACCTTCTCTGCACAGTGAGTCACTGGCTACTACTTTGTTGAGCTCTGAAGGCCTCTCCAAGAACAAGAACATGTCCAGGACCCCACTGAAAGAGTCTCTTCTATTCAAGAGACTCTCTTCCCACCCCTTGCTGCCCAGAACACCACCTGAGATAAACTGGCCCCCCTCCTCTCTGTCGCCAAATTGTGTGGCTCTAGCTGAAGATCAACAGGCTCATATCAGTGTCCCATTTCTGACTCCAGCTGAATGTAAAACCTTGGAATGGCACCTGCTGCAGAGGCAGCTCCAGTTTCAGTGGGGCCTGCCAACGGCCAGGCAGAGAAGTCGCCATGCCCACAGCCCCATACAGTCTGAGCCATGTGACAAAGCCCAGGCTCCTCAGACTATGAAAACATCCTGGCCAGAGAAACCTGTCTCAGGCTCCACCAGGAAACGACACATCTTCCCAGAGCATGCCCACAGGCTGCTGGAATTTCACTTCCAGAAGCAATTGATTCACCTTCGCTGGGGCCTACCTGAGAAGATCCAGCAGTCCCTCCAGCTGTTCCTTGCCTCTACTGACCAGCAGACTCTGTCCTGTAACAGCACAGCCTTACCCAATGTGAGAATCCCCCAAACTATGACCCTAAAGGGCAAGGGTGATGGTGATTCATTCTTGCCCATCCTGGCCCAGATGTCAATCCCCATGCCACACTTATTCACCCAGGCCAAGGCCAAACTGCACAGCCACATTGACTCCAAATGTGGACAGATCCACCAAGGCAAGGTCCCTTTCCATTCATATAGCTCCTGGGAAGGCATAGTTTCTGGCGACCTAGCAGTGGCTCCCTTCCCCTGCAGTCCACAGGGTCAGCCCCTGGAGCTGCAGGCAGCAAGTGACACCGAGCTCCATGACAAAGTTGTGTCCTGGACACCAATGGCCCTGGATCAGCAAAAACAGGCCTCACCAGACACTGTCACTGACCACCCTAAGCTGCACCGAGCCCTGTCTCAAGGAGTCATTGAGAAACTGGAGATGACCGTAAGGCACAAGTATCTCACCTTCCTGTCAGGACTGCCTACTCTTTACTCTTCAGCCCTTTCTGAAGGGATGGCTCCAGCAATCACTAGCCACTCTACAGCCGTGGAGATGGTGCCAGGGCCTATGACAACCCCAAAGGAGCCTCTGACTCAAACTATCTCACCGGAAGACCCAAGCAGGAGGTTTGGGCCATCCTTTCAAAATGACAGTGAGACTCAGGCAGACAAGGCACATTTGCAGCCTGAGGTGCAGGTGGAAGGAGCGACAGAGTCCGTGCCTCTGGTCAGCCAGACACATATTGCTATTCTCTACCTATCCAAGACACGTATCTTCTCCAAGCTAAACTTTCACCTAAGAAAAAAGGTCCTAGAAATAAAATTGGGACTTCCCATGCGGGCGAGGGAGTCCAGGAAACTGACTATAGCTGGCCCAGAGAACAAGTCCTCACAGGCACCTCCTACTAGTCTAAACAACCCAGGAAGCACAGTGCTTCCAAAACTGCCCATCCTGCCAGATGCATGTCCTGCTCCAGATTCAGAGTGGGTCCACCTTACAGAGCACCTGGCTTCACAGCTGGAGACAGTGCAGCACAGCCAAAAGCCACCTAGCTCCAAGGCATTATCCCTCGCTTCAACCCACTGGTCGTCCAAGATCTCACAGCTCAGCAGGGCCCAGGTGCTTTGTGTTCAGATGGAGGCCAGTGCGAACAACCCCAGCCTGTGGGAGCCCTGGAGCGCTGGGCCCCAAAGCCCAGGCAAAGACTCAGCCCAAATCTCCACACTGGCAGAAAGGAGAGAGGACATAGGGAAACCCCAAGCACCAGGGGACCTCGGAGAAGGGGATGCAGGGCTTGGGCTCCCTTTAACCAGTGCAGAAAGGCAGCCTGATGAAAATGAGAAGCCAGAGGAGAAACTTTGGGAGAGAGAACCCCAAGGCTCCTGGAGATGGACCCACAGATGTCTTCTTGTAGATCCTCAGCAACACAGTTCCCAGTGTCACCCCCAGCTTAAGCCTCCAGAGCCTCCTAAAGAGGGCCCTGAGAGGGAAGAATCTGAGCATGACTTGCAGGGCCATCAAGGAAAGTTAAATGTCCTCCTCACACCTGCAAAGGTCCCTCAGGATTTCCATCCTGCGGTGGCCCAGGCTTCCCAAGGCCAGCGTTTCCTGGGCCAACCAACTCCTCATAAGCCTTCTAAGGGCCAGCCTTTGCAAAGCCACGTGTTTCAGGGGCAGGTGATGCCAGCCCATTCTCACAAGAGCTCCAGCCTTCCAGAGTCTGGCTTGATCAATAAGATGAAGCACTTTCTACACTTTCTTGGAAGTCTCAACATCCAGCACAAAAATGCCATGACCAAAGGCAAAGGGCACGTAGACTCCATGTTCTCAACACCTGGGAAAGTGGCCAAAACCAAAAAAAATGTTGAAAAGAGCCTGGCTCCAGCCAAAGGTCCCATGGAGAAAACTAGGATTGACACTCCATTGAGGCACCCCAAGAAGCAGTCACTCCCCACAGACAGGCCAGTGGGCCTGGCATCCTTAGATGTTACCCATTCTCCACACAATAAGCTCCACCTTCGCTCCCAAATACATGGATCTGCCTCCATCCCAGGCCACCCCTGCCACCACTCTCCTCAAGTGGCTTGTTCCTCCCAATCAGGGAACGCACCTTAGCCTCCATCTCTTACCTCAGAAACATCTTGCTCAAGAAGAACAATCCATGGCATTGACTATGAGATTCTATGATTCACAATTTCTGCACCCCTGAAAGAACACTACTTATTATAATCTCTATTAATGATTAGGTATGGCAAGATGTCACCAGAAATATACTCTATATGGCTAAACATTCTTTTTTTCCTTCCTTGTCTCCATTGTACTTGGTTAAGGCATAAAGAAAGCTTGTAAAAAGCGCTTTCCTAGCTAGAAAAGGAGCTTTAACCCACAATTCTTATAGTCATTTTAAAGGAGTACCATGGGCCCCACTGAAGGGATGGCTTTTGTATTTATCATAAGCACATAGACAAATATGACAAATGTCAAAACTAAACGATAGAATCTCTCTTGTCGGGTCCCTATTGGTATTGCTAGCATCTTTCTATGGAACCCATCTGGGAGCCTATTGTAACCCTTTTGCCTGTTTCTCATCTCACTGCCTGAGTTGTGTGAAATGGGTCATAGCAAGAAATACTGAGGGTCCTGTCCTTTCCCGTGAGGACAGGTAGGGGGAGAGGGATCAGGTAGGTCAAAGCCTGTGAACCAGGGACAAAAGTTGACATGCTCCTGAGCAGGGACAAAAGCCAGTTTTCTTGGTACTAAAAGGAACATAGAGCCAGGAGATAAACCCAAGGCCCAAATTCTTTGGGGGAGGAAGGGAGTAAACTCTGAGCTTGGGTCTGCTTGCCTTTAGTATGTACAATAAAGGGTACTGAATTAAGCGCAGAAGTTTTTGACGTTAAAATAAGTTTTCTAAACATACTTGAGCCTGTGAAGTCATTTGTACCACTCTGCTGCCATGTCCTAGTTCTACAGCACCTACATCTGGGGTCCGTTACTCTTTCCAACATCCTCACCCTATGAACACCCCCCCCCAATGGTAATAGTGCTGAAATTATCAGCTTAATCTCTTCCCAGGAAGAGATCAAGATACCTTCCCCTCAGAAGATGGCTCCTGTTGTTTGTCCACCAAGGACTGCAACACACAAGCCTCACAGCTCCAGTCCTGGGTCCCTGTGCCCTTCCATCTCTTCATCCATTTCTTAATTATGTCCCCACTGCATTTCAGATATCACCAAAACCATTCATTTTGATTGCCAAAATAATGTTTTAAGGCCTTTAGAAAGTATTCTGTCCGTTAACCAGGCATGGAAAGTAATGAAAAAAATCTACAATTTAATACCACACACGAGTCTCTTACAACCTGATCAAATTCCCAGCCCTTTTGCCTCTCTTGCTGGGAATCTCCAATATTTTCCTATTTCAGGGAAATGTCTGTTTATCCTTAGTGAAAATATTATGTGTAATTTTCTGAAATCCTTGTGATGGAGAAATCCAAAAAGGAGGCCAAGAGGCAAGCTAATATCTGTAAGCAACTTCCAAAAAAAAATGTAAGTTCCTCCTACTGATATCTTATCTAAAATCTTCCTCACAAACTAAACGAAGTCTTGCAGACCTGCTTTAGGCAGTCTCTGTAACAGTCTGCTATATGGAGACATTTCTATGGCACTGTAGAGTTTGTATGGGGATGGACTTAATATAGAACATGTAATTTACAGGATTATTTTATGATATTCACCCAAATAATCAGATGCAGAAATGTGCAAGAAATCTGTCCACTTAGAGACCCAAAGAACCCAGCTGAGGTCCCAGATCCCTCAGCACTGTCTAGAGCCCATGACAATAGCTTATGCATGTCCCTGTCAAGAATCTGCCCTGGGAAGACCCAAAGGCCAGTGGAAGAAGCTAGAAAATCTGGCAGGGTAAAGGATCTATGCCAGAAGGCTGAGGGATCTGCACTGGAGCCAGGAAGCAATGCTCAATGTGAGCTCCCCCAAAGAGAACAGTAACCATTCTTGGAGACAAGAAAGACCCACGCTCCTCTTCCAGTGAAAACAACCCAGTTTATATCAGGAAAACTAACCAGGGCAAGCTTCTCTAGGAAAATCAACAGCATGAAATCTTCCCTTTCTAGTATAATGTTCTGGCAGTTATCCTCAATTGAGTCTTCCATATCCAGAGCCATGCTGACTCAGTTCAGCTGGGTGTTCCCCACTTAAACTGACCATTAGTTAATCCACCACAAGCACTTACCTGGTCCCTCTTCAGTCTAGCCTGCACTCCCACCCCCACCACTAACTAGGTGATCTAAAACTCAAGGCAGCTTCAAGACTCCTAGATACACAAAACTATTAATGAAGGCCAACATGCCCATATCCCCTTAATCCTCTGAGACAAGTGGACCCTAGCTTCCTTTTCTAGTTACCTGAGCTGGGACAGGCATTGGTCTCCCTGGAAGGAAGACCAGAACCCCCAACCTCTTAAGGAGGCCATGGCAGAAGGGCATAGGTTAGGGTCATGATTGCTTCATAAAGTGAAATATTTGGGCAATTCCTTTCCCTTTGGTCGAAACTTCTTCCTGACCTGAGAAAATAATTTCAGAACATGACAAATATGAACAAAAGCAGAAAATAAGGGGAAAAATAAAGTAAGGGGGTGGGAGGGGAAGAAAAAGAATGGGAAGGGAAGGGAAAGTAAGAGAAGGGAAGGGAAGGAAGCCAACTTACCAAACTACAGCACAAGGAAAAAAAAAAGCTTTGAGTAAGTGTTTTTATACTGTTCATGCCAAATATCTGATCCCTTGGAAAAGATACAGATTTTAAGGTCAAAGTCACAAGAATGGAATGGAGAAAATCATGAGGGTTAGAATCCTAGCTCTGGTATTTGACAATTTAACATTCCTGAGCTATACCATTCCTTCATCAGTGACAGTGGTGACTGCACACACACTCCTCCAAACCTAAATTACTAATATACTGGTGATTCCTAAAGCCATTTCTCTGTCTCAGTCTTTCCTTTGCTCCAAACAGCACAGTCAACAACTGTGGAAACTTTCTATCTTGCTCCAAAAATAAAGCAAATTAGGAAAGTGTCAGGGATCACTACAAATTATCAGCATCATTAATACTTTTTCATTCAGTCCATATATCAACACTGTCACTAAGTTCTAATCCTTATAATTCTCAAGTTGACCCTCTCACCAATTTTTCAGTTCCATTTCTCATCTTCAGCTTGCCCATGATGACTAATGTAAGCCCAAGGGGCAGAATAGTGGCTAGAGCATAGGAATAATAATTAAATGCAAAGTTTGGGCTATGAGGTAGACAAATCACTGCATCAGTGTGATGAGTGCTGTGGGGTGTGCGGTCATGCCACAAAAGAGGCATGAGGAAGACTTCAGAAAGTTCACAATAAAATTGGCATTCAGAAGCACCTTGCACTTGATAGCTAAAATGTTTGAGTTTTACTATGTGTCAGGTATCATGACAAATGTAAGGCACAGGCCTAGCCACAGTGGACCTCCTGATCTCATGTGGAAAATGCTTTCACATGTCCAAATCGTCAAATCAGTATGTATACTTGGAAGCAAATATGCATGTCAAACTATCCAAAAATGAAGTCCTGAATCCTGGTCCCACACCTACCCATACACACATAATCCATCAGTTCCAATCAGTTAATGGCAGCTCCAGTCCTTCAGACCATAAACAATGATGTTGTCCTTGAATTTTTCCCCCTAAGAGCCCATATCCAGTACATAAGCAAATCTTGTTTTCTCTATGTTCAAAAATGCACCTATACTGTTCAACACCTTTTGTGGCTATCGATCAGCTGTGGTTAGAGGGGATGAGATATCCAGAATAGCTTTTCTTAAAAGAGAGAGATACAGCATGGTGGACAGTGGAGGAAAAAGATGGTCAAAAAGGTGGTGACAAGGGAATGATGCAGGACAGCAAACAAGGAAGCTGCTACAGTGGAGTGTTGCTTTAGAGGTGAAGCAATAGCACTACTGTAGTTTGCATCCTGAATACTCCTAGATGCCTTTGTTGAGGGTTGGTTACCAGCATGCGGAGCTACTGAGAGGTTTTAGAACCTTTAAGAGGTGGGGCCTAGTGGAGGGCAATTGGGGGTCACAGACCACCCCTAAACAGCATTTTGGGACCCTGGCTTCCTCTCTCTTCCCTTTTCACTCTTTGTTTACCACAAGGCAAGCAGCTTTGTTTGACTGCAAGCTCTTGAATATTATTTGCTGTCTTGTCACAGGTTCAAAAGCATGATATCCAATTTCTATGGGATGAAATATAAAAACCATGAGTCAAAATAAATCTTTTATAATTTGATTATCTCAGTTACTTTGTCACAGTAACATGAAGCTAACATAGTGACTGTATAGCCAGGTCAAGTGTTAGCCTTGGAGAAGAGCACTGAAAATTTGCTGCTAGTAGAGAAAATGCAACGGCAATGAAAGGAGAGTTCATAGTTGAAGAAAGGTTTATTCTGATTGTAAGTGAATGTGGGTAAAGCCCAAAGCCAAGTGGATGAACAAGCATCTGGGAAGGAACCAGGCTACAAGTAGGAAGAAGAATACATAAGACCAAATCTGGAACTGGAGGTAAAGAGGAATTTGAAAACTGACACAAACTTTCTTTTAGGGCCAAAAAGTGAGTGGCAGTGTGAAAACACAAGTGGGCATGGAAAGATTGACTGAAATTGCAACCATGAGTGTGAAGCAGGTGATGTTGGCAGTAGGAGGCCCCAAATTACTGGATCCTAATTCCAGGATCCGTCAGCATCCCACCAACTAGGAAGAAGTGGTGGCAGGACTTCCTCGATCTGATAGAACTCCATTGTTTAGCACAGTATGTCCTCAGCTAGCAGGCTGCAGAAAGTCCAGAAGGAAGAAGCATGGCTACCTCTACCCCTCTGAATGGTGAGTCTGTGCTTAAGGGATAGAGACCCAGCTGCTAATTGGCTCTCAGAGCAGAGACACAAAGCCCTGGCCTGCTGAGCCAGCACTCTCCAGGTAGTTTCTGGAATCATTCCCAGAGATCATGGAAGGTCTTGTGACAGGCATATCCTTTCTCTGTACTGGGAATTGGGCAGATAGCCACAAGTGGGACCAGAGGGAGACCAAGAATGAAGGGAATTGATT